TTCCAATTATTTTCAGTCTTAATTTTATTAAATTTTTCTAACTTTAATAGCAATATTTTAACTTTTAACCCTCTTATTTCATTTAAAAATTATTTTAACTTTGGACAATCTTTTATGGCTACCGCATTAGAGGGTTTAATTTATAGTAATAAATATAAATGTATTGATTCAAAATATTGTATTAGAAAATATATTAAAATTTTGATTATTAAATCATGGTTTCAAACTATAGCTTTAATATTAAGGTTGCTTCTTAACTCTTTTTACAAAACAAATTTTTTTCTCCTTTAATTATCCATTTTAAAAATTGCGTTTTTAAAATTAAGATCTTCATTTTAAGTATAAAGATATAAAAATAAGATGCTCAAATATTTAATAAAATGTTTAGCAGCGTATCAATATTTCAAGGTTTTACCTTGCAAAAATATTGTAAAATGAAATAAATAAAAATAAAAAATTGGTTTTTCTATTTTAATATTTGAAGAGAATTGATTGAATGATAAAAAGATATTTAAGAATGGTATGGGTGAATCATCTCATACATATAGAAAAATTAAATATTTGAGAAATCCATATGATTTTTTAAAACCAAAACATGCCTAATTTTTTTTAATTAATTTTTCAACTAATCTAATTAAAGGAAAAACTACAAAGTCTCCAAATTTTTTACTATGAAATGTAGCTAAAAGTATGAAGCAAATTAAAGCAAAAATATTTTTTATATTCATTATAAATTCAGTAGTTATGAAATTATTTTAATATTTTATGTGAGCGGTTTCATCCTATAATTTACACAGATGTATTAAAGTTATTTATTTATCTAAAAAATTTATATTGTTAGGTCTTAATTTTTCTTCAGATGAAAAGTAGAAATACTTAAGAAATAGCTTTATTTTTTTTATTTTAAAATCTTTAATAAAATTATTATCAAAATATTATATGGTTTAAGTATTTTAAATTGAAAGATTAGAAATAAAACTTTCATATTTTTTTTATTGAAATGAAAGCAAAACAAAATTTTACTTGCTTAAATATTTAAATATTTCTAATATTCAAAGAAATAAATACTTTTATAATATCTTAAAAAGGTCATTTTTTCATTTATTAAAAATTATAAAATTATACCACAAATTTACATTTTAAATATTTTATCTTAGACTTAATCAATAGTTCATTTCTTATTACCATTTTTGTTTTCAAATTTTAAAACATTTTACTTATAAAAAATAAAGATGAAACAAATAGCATTTGCAAGCTAAATTACTCTATTTATTTTTTTGTCTTATATATTCTAATAGCTAATGTAAACTATCATTCAATTGT